TTGAGGAGAAAACAAGGGGTTCTGAGGATAGACAAGCTGTTTCCAAGCATAAGACCAACAGAACCTATTCCTTCCATAACTTCAAGGATGTCTCCTGTGAAAGGCTAAGTTCAAGCACATAGAAGCTCATTGTTTCCAGCCAGTCAGCTTCAATGGTCTCTGAAAAACTTACCTATTAAATGCACTTTTAAGATTGATGCCTGTGATGGCAGGATGACAGTGTGCCTGAAGATACCAAGAACAGCAGAAGGCCCGAACCTACGTGTGACTTTCATGCTCTTAATCAGTAGTTGTTGGACACTGGTCACCATAGCATACGGGTCCCTCTCTGTCAAGCTTTTCATTCTCCTACTCCATTGATGGGCAGTAGGTTAGAACCAAGCAAAGAATCTGGCTTTCAACTGTAGAACTGCTTTCTTCCACTGTCTGTCATCCCAACATGAAAGTAGACTTAACAACGCAAGCCAAACTGTCAAAGAATTCACTTCACAACTACACAAAGAGGAGGAGAAGGCTTCTGAGTGTTGGTTTCACAAAGAAATGTTTTCTGGTAGCATTCCACATTTTGTGGTTGTATTGTGGACCAAATGCTGCTTCTCAAAGGCTAGCTATTTGACTAGAGAGAAGCAGAAGGGAGCATGTTGGGAATTAGTCAAGACAGAAAATGTTCTGCAGACAGTACATGCTATTTTGGAAAAGGAACTGCATCACAGGATTTAAATCTTTTAAAGGTGAATTAAGGCAAGGCAAGTTTCTAAAGTTTGATATCAAAGCAATGAGAGAGAAAAGACATTTCAAAATAACAGTATAAAATGGAATGTGCTCTTGAACAGTTTTATATAGCAGTTTTCGTTACTTTTCATTCATTCATTCATCCATCCATCCATCCACTCATTCTTGGAGTACTAAAGCCCTGCGCAGAGACATAACTGACTGAGGAACTTACAGCTTAGATTGGGTGGTCAAGAATGTCCTTCCAAGGATGGAAAATGAGCTGAGGTCTGACTGTCACATGAAGAAAGTTAAGTGTAGAACCAAGCAAAGAAACTTCCAGGCAAAAGAATGAACCACAGTAGGTTTTGAAGTACAAACAAGGAACAAGACTCAAGGAAAACCAAGAATAGGTATGGTAAGAATTTAACAATAAAAGGGCTATTGGGGAGAGGTGTATGTATCTACTATCGAGCTGGAGGGTGGGCAGATCATGCAGAGGGTCCGGGGTATCAGAGAGGAGTTGGAATTTTATTTTAACTGTTGACAGAAAGGCACTAAAATGTTTTGAGCAGAGAAAGAACACAATATAATTTACACTTTCAAGACTGGGATATGAAAAGCTGACCGCAGGGCTGTAAGATGGACCTGAGGAAATCAGTTTTGAAAGCTAGAGTAATTGCCCAAGAGATACTACTGGGTGCTGAGGCAACTGTAGGTAAGACAGTAATAAATACATAGCTTGAGACACAGTGAAAACAGAGCTAATGGATCTGTGGTAAAACTTAGATTTTTGAACTGAGTGCAAATTGTGGCACCATTAGTTAAGGATGGAAGAATAACAAACTTGAAGGAAAAAAAATAAGAGTTTAGTTTTATGCATGTAAAATTTAAGACACGTAGTACATAAAGGACAAGCAGAAATTCATCTCAGGCAGTGTTAGGGCTGGAAGTCAACATTAGCAGAAACCAACATAGAAGTAGTATATAATACTACATGACCCAATTAAACATCTTAGGGACTATCCATGCAATGGACACAGATACAAGAAGGGTGGGCACTAAGTCCTAGGGCCCTTTTACCTAGAGGCCAGGAAGAAGAACCAGTGAAAAAGACCAGGGAAGCTTCTGGTACTAAGGGGAGAAAAAAGACATCATGGAAGACAAGAAAATCTAATGTTTTAGTAAAGATGGAGTGAATGACCAACTTTCAAAAACTGCTGAAGGCTTATATTAATAAAGAAAAGTCTTATGAAAATGTCAATCTAAATTCAGCAATTACTGGTGTGGGAAAATGAGGTTATAAAAATTGTCTTAAAATATGAATTGAATGCTTTTACATGAAAATCCAATCATTACCCCGAAAGGTGTGAACAAATAGATTCATATGGGTTTTCTTGTTAACTAGAGATCTCCCTTACACACACACTCACACACACACACACACACACACACACACACACACACACACACACACACACACACACCAGTTTAGTTCAAATGCCAACCTCTTCTAAAGAATTTCTTCTACTGCAGAGAATTTTATCACCTGTTATGTGTATGTTCACAAAATATACATTCACAGACGAGTAACATTGCCTTGGGTCAAATTCTGGGCCACTGGTAAATCTATTCTAATCACTACAGTATTACAACACACCGTTTGTATTGAAGGAAAAGCCTCGGTGTTCCGCTTTGCACTTTGGCACTAATTTCATTTCTTTGGTTACCTGCAGACATTTGGCAGCACTGGTGACTACCTGTAGGGTATGTCTTCCCTGAATGATCATGAATATTTAAAATCGAGGCTAACTTTCCTCATCATGTAACATGCTCTACATAAATTATGCCTGCTTTGCCGGTGTACATTTAAAGAATATGTTCAAAGAATATGTTAAACAATACTTAAGGTAAAATATTGAATAAAAAATAAAATGCAATAAAAATAATTTTTAAAAATCCCAAAGGAGTGGGGTTGGTGGTATGCACCATAAATTCTAGTACTCTAGCGGAAGAGGCAGGTGGATCTCTGTGAGTTAGAGGTCTGCATGGTGAGTTTTGGCCAGCCCAGATTACATAGTTGAGAACCAGTATCAAACATGACAAAATAAAACAAACACAAAACAAAACCTGACCTAACTGGACAGAAACTGAAGGAAATTCTTGACTACTCATGCCCACCTCAGCTATGTCGGCTCTCCACAGGTTTCCCATGGAGGTGACTAGATTATTGATGTGATTTTGAGTGGTGTGAGGTCATAGTGGGCACTTGAGGGTTGAGTTGTTTTAGAATGAAGATATGATTTGGGCATTTGAAATTGAGCTTTCTTATTTGAAACTGAACTTGTATTTGTTGCTCAGAACCTACGAGGGGAACACAGTCTCAATGCACAGTGATTCACATGATCAATTGTTTTTAATCCTTTAGTAACCCTAAACTTAGGTCATTTGATTTTCTTGTCATTGCTTTCCCTATACTATCAAAAATGATGCTTTCTTTACTATTTCAAACTCATCAGAAAATCACTAAAAAATCTAAAATTCAATTTGCCACATTACTGCTAATTTGAATAATGGCTGAATAAAACACAGGAAACGCTGAAGCAGCATTGATTTCTAAAACATTTTGCACTTTTCTCCTCCATCCCTGTAAAGTAAAGCTTGGATGCTACGCACAATTACACAAGAAAATCAAGAAGGCCATTACATTCAGCATTTTGTCATGATCACTGTTACCATGGCGAAGAGTAGGCGTAGTTTAGCACAGCTGCCACGGGCGAGATCTGCTGGCCTTTTGTAAAGCTGAGTAACAATATAATGCCAAATTCGATAGCCTCCCACCCACACCCCACACTGTTTGTTGCCTGCAGATGCTACCATCTCCTTCCTTAATGATCTAGGCATGTGTCAACTTATTACTGTATTCTTACTATTGGCCAACGACAGAGGAGTGCGGTTAATTTAGAAAGGCTGCCACCTGACCCATCTCTTGTTTTCATGGAGGAAAACACATGTTGTGAAAACAAGAATGCAATCATAAAAAAAAAAAGGATTCAACAGTTGCACTGCAGATGACAATGACTTGTTTTGGAAATGGAATGGATAGGGGAGAGAGATAAGTACAGGCCTGTGATAAGTAGCAGATAGCATATTACTTCCTTTCTTTGAGTCTCAGTTTATTTTTCTATATAATGGGGATAAAAGTACCTTCTTGGCTGAGAAGATGGCTTCGTGGAAAAGTGTTGCTACACAAATGTTGGGACTGGAATTCAGATTGCCATCATCTAGGTCAAAGCCAGGCAGGCACGATTGCTGCCTGGATCTCAAGCAATTGTGAGGTAGAGATGAGATCCCCAGAACAAGCTGGAGTCAGTGAATTCCAGTATCAGTGAGACCTTGCCTCAATAAATAAAGTGGTGAGTTGCTCTGGAAAACCACCCAGTGTCAACTTTGGGCCTTCACACACACACTCCCACATATGTATAATACTCCTGCACATATTCACATGAACCCATGTACCAGAGACATGCCCTCACATATGACCCCTCACACACACACTTGTAACTTCTCTGTAAGGACCAACTGAAATAACTTTCAGGTCTAGGCACACAGCAGGTATTTGATACATCTGTTCCCACTTGCACCTCTTAAATTGTAGAGATTTCTATCTCATCAAGATGCTTATAGAAATTGGTCGGTAAACTGTTCACTACTGTTGTAATGTAAGACATTTTCATCTTTCATATGGTTCAGATATTGTCTTCAGAGATTGATAATAAATTAATTTTTATAGTCTAGCCGGGCGTTGGTGGCGCACGCCTTTAATCCCAGCACTCGGGAGGCAGAGGCAGGCGGATCTCTGTGAGTTCGAGGCCAGGCTGGACCGACAGCCTCCAAAACAGAAAAACCCTGTCTCGTAAAAACCAAAAAAAAAAAATAAAAAAATAAAAAAATTTTTATAGTCTAAAAGAAAGCATACATTCCGCATCAAAAGGATAAAAATCCAGCTTGTTATCCGTATTTTAAGTGACACTAATGTAATCACTGTAAAGCAGGAAATAAACTATACCAGTTTTGACCTTAAGCACAGATTTTAAGTTTTAAAAAATGAAACAACATCATGAAGGCAGAGAAGTTTAAATTATCTGAAATGAATACATTAATCAGAGTCTATATTTACTATGGGAAAAAAGGCTCCTAGCATTTTTACCAGCTAAACAAAATATTTTTTTCTAATGAGACTTCAGCTGAGTATCGTTTATCTTAAGAGAAAAATAATGGGACCTTACCTATTCCAGTAGCTCCAGAACTGGCCATGCAGGTAGGCGTGGTGGCTACATTCATCACCAAATGAGGCTTTGCTTTCAATCCAGTGAATTATGTGCCCTTCCACAGCTAAGGGACAAAGCATTACTAATACATGGCAAAGGAGAGGGAAGATTGAAAATCCTCGGTTATGCACTGGCCTCTTTATGCTTCACATTAGTGAGCAGGGGTTTAGCCTCTGCCATTCACTGTGGGCATAATTACAAAACAGCACGTTGTGTGAGTTCATGGCCAGGCACACGGGTGCCACCACCTCATCCTGTCGTCTTCACCCCATTCTTCAAAACCCCCTTTCTTAGTGCTCAAGATGCTGGTCTGCCGCTAGACAAGTGCCATGTCAAGAAGACCAAAGTGTGCCTGGCTGTGTGGCAAAACTGTGTTTTAAAAATTCAAAATCTAGAGAAATAAGTTGAAAATGGCATCTCATAATGCCTGTTAGGAGGCATGGCCATTCCTCAATACATGGCAAAGGGTTGAGACACAGGCTTCTTCTGAACCAACTACGAGATGATTTAAGATAGCGTTTCCAATGGTTTTACCCATTTCCACACGGTGTTAGAAAGATAAGCTACCCTGAAAACAGCTGCTAATAGTAACATCTGAAAGTCAGTCCCCTCTCTACACAGATGCATATCAAGCTCAAGAACTTACCAACTGGCACCTGTAAGATGAAGTCTGGTGTTTTGTCATAGCCCTTTGCACGGAGCTGATCTTCATCTGCAGGAAGAGCAAACACTATCATTTATTGCGGCACTCCATTAAAAAGACAGCAATATAATTGCTTTTCTTACTTAAATATGTGGAAAAATTACTAATGCAGCCATACGTGTCTTTCTTATGCGTGCAATGCCATATCAGAACAAATGAATTTTCTTCCCAAACCTGAATCAGAGATATAAGAATGCTTCTTTGTCCTTTTTGCATTTTTATGTCTTTATTATAAACATCATTAATCCAAACTGTCAGGAGCTACCTTTTTTTTTTTTTAGGTAATTGAAAATTCTCAAAGTAAATATACTTACTGAAGGGAAGAAACGGGATCCACTAGTGTCAGCAGTCAATATTGACAGTTTACAGTAAGGCAGAAACACCGTGCCTTTGCAAGCAGGAAATAAATGCTTTCTTAAAGCCATCAAGAAACTCTAGTTTCAATTCATAAAACTGTTCCCATACATAAGAAAAGGGGGGAAAAAGGAGATTGCACAATTAGTCATCTTGCTTAGTTCCTTAGGTATACAACTGTGTCTGGCAGTTAAGAGTTTGACAGTCTGCAGCATATACTTCAGGAAAGCAAACAGGCTCGAAGATATTTTCCCTATCTTTTTCAGTTTCTTCTGTAAATATCAATGATGGCCATTGGAGGGGAAGAAAGCAGGGAAATAGGAACCTAGATAAGGTTGGGGAAATTAACAAGGATGCTTGATTTAAACACACACATACACACACACACACACACACACACACACACACACACACACACACACACACACACACACACCTCCCTCCCTCCCAGTATTTTCTAAATGCTGCCCTTGACTTCTAATGACATTACAATGTGATTTTTGAAACGGAGAGTTCTCCATTAGATTTTGGAGTGACCTGGTCATTCAATTCCAGGCATGGCTTTCTGTCTTCACCCAACCTCAACTAATGGCTCAACCAAGTAACAAGGAAGGCTGAGTGGTCTCTTAACACCTACTGGGCTGTTGACATTGTCATGCATCCCATTGGCCTTCCTGCATCAACTTTGATTAAAATTAATGGCCCATTCCCAGTGTTGGGTAGCTTATTTCCAATCCATTTGTCAGCCCAAGACAGTGGTTTCATGGCCAGTGTTGAGAAACTCCATTTTAGAGCATTCTTGTGTATATCCTGAAAGGTCAGTGTTTTAAACATAAATAAGCTTTAATGAGAAGACAAGACATTAAAGTAGATATCTAAGTGGGATGCTGTTAGAAGTTGGTATTTTTACTCAGATTTTGTATTTCTCCTGGGAATACAACAAAATAAAATAAAATTTCATGCTTTTGAAATAATGAAATACAAATCAAACTAACTTTAATTATAAAACAAAAGAATTTTTGAAATTGAACTATACAACCACACTGGGAAAGTCACTACCTTTCAACTTTACTCTATGAGAAACGGTAATGGAAAAGGTATTTATTCAAATCAACCCTAATGTTTCGGGCAATGTTTTAGGTAAGTGATGAATCGTTTTAAAAGCTGGTTGACATTAAAAAAGATAGATGACATTTTATTAAAATTATCCTAGCCTTTGTAGATGTTAAAATTTGTTTCAGAAAGAAAAATGATTATGTTTCTGACAGCAGCCAAAAAAAAATTTTCCCCCCAAAGGTCACCAAGCAACCCAACCTACCAGTGCAGTCAAACTGCTTTAAAGCTGACCCATAGTCTACTCACTACACTGCAACTGCACCTGCACTTGCAACTGCACCTGCATGGCGTCTCTAATGTGAAAATTTCAAGTTCCAAACACACTAGTGAAGCTAGGGAATGTTCCTATCCTCTTGTGGAAAATTCCAAAGTACCAAGGGATATAAGGTCTCAGTCGGTTTGTCTGACTTCCCTCCCCCTCTCCTTTCTCCTCCTTCCATGTTCTCAGTATCTGCCAAGTTGATCCTACAGTAACTGAGTCTTTACCACTGCTTTCTTTAATAAGAGGTTATTGAAAACATCTGAAATGCCCTTTCTTTACTTACTAAACCCTCACTGCTATAACACTTCTATTTTATATCCCCGATGTAGTGGTTCTCCAACCACTTGGGTAGTCATGATCACATTCCTACCTCTTATCTGACTATTAATTGGTGCAGATTTCCCCTCTACTAGACATGTGTGCAATCTACATTTTCCCCTAAGAGCCATGCATTTCATGTGGGTTCTTCTGCTTCACACACACTTTAGTTAACTAGTTACTTAGGATTCTTGACTCTCCCTAGATGAAACCAGATGTCTGAAATATATGCTGTCTTGTCAAAGAAAAAGGATACAAAAAATAGTATTAGTTAAGAGAGGAGAAAAGTGAGGGCAACAATCTGAAATTGCACTTTCGTACACTCGCCCTACCCTGCCTACCAGCCTCACTCAGTGAACACAGCAGACAGGCAGAAAGGCGCATGCATAAACCTATGCATTTCACAGCCCCTAAACTCATTAATCTCACGGTCCAAGGTTTCATCATCCACATAAATATAGGAATATTATCACTTAAAAGCACACAGCTTTCATATCTACAAAAAGAAGAATTAAACACAACCATAGCCTCATGAAACAGTATTTCTGTGCTAGAAAAGTCTTATTGACAACTAGTCCCACATTCTAATTTATATATCTTAAAAGAAGCCCAGAGAAATTAAGTTGTCCACCAGGACCTGAACTTTCCAAATAGCAAATAGAGAGCCCATGTCAACCAAGTCCCACTTTGTTCCCACAACATTGCACCATTCTTAATTATGTCAATAATTAATCTGGATCATGTGTAATGCTTCTGAAGAGTGCTCTTTTTCATGTTGTGTGATTGGTAGGGGGACACCTGTCTGAAAGCACCTGGAGGACTGGCTATTTTTATTTCCAGAGCTTCAGTGGTCATCTGGTCATTTCATCCCAAAACTCAACAAAACTGCATCCACAGATGAAATGGATGTTCATTTCCAAAACTACTTTTAAACACTATTATTTCAACTGCACAAAAACAACACAGGTCTCTGTTTAGTTTTACATTGTCAGGTCTGTCCTTAGGTGATATTGTAAAAAGGGATTACACATGCCGAAAGAACATTGTGAACATTTAATTTCTCTGTCCTTTGAGTTATCTCATTGAAATACCCAAAATATCCAAAGCAATTAGCTACTAATTACACAATTTCTTTGCTTAAAATAAAGGGTTGAGATTTAGTCAGAGAACAAGACACATCTGAAACTAGTTAACATATGCTTACAAATCATATTTAAAACTACTAGAAAATGTTTTCTTTAAACTATACTGTTTTATTAAAATCTTTAAATTTAAGAGATATATCATTTCCCAAGAAATTGTACAAAATTCCAGTTTGCAACATCTGAAAATGAGAAGTAACACTCTGAAGTGATCCATGAATATGAAATAAAATACACCAAATGATTTTTTAAAAAATCCTTTAAAACCTTGTACATCATTACTAAATTCAGAGAGCCCAAAGTTATGCATTGATGCATATTAAAACAGTACATGTCTTCTACTCTAGTATTTCATGTGCTTGGACTTTTTTTTTTTTTGAAGCATTCTTAATTCAATGCTTAGAACTGTGACCTTTCTTCTCTGTATGTTCCCTGAGAGCAAGTCTCACACACAGCCTTTTCTACTGAAGGCATCAGTAGAGCTTCAATAATAGCTACCATTATGATACGCAAACCAAACAAAGGTACACCGAACGCACACGTAGTGAATGGGGAGACTATCTCACACAGAAATGAAATCTTTGCCCAACTCCAAATTTCATTACAGCCATTAGTTTCAACTTCTTCCCCCAAAGCCTCTTCTCAAAGCCACTAATAAGGACTGCAACTGACTGCTCTGACCTTGTCCTCTGCTTATGTCTTCAGGGGACAATACTAGGGGAACCTGAAGTGCCCTAAAAATAGGAAACAAATAGGAGGTCAAGAGCTGGAGCAGCAAGGAAGAGTGACTAGGAAAGTCATCCTGGCTGCCTGTTGTTGGGGAGACTGAATACACTAATCTCAATAACACAGCAAATTACTGCAAATCCTTTTGGCCCCATGCTTCAAAAGACAGACAAATCAGCATGGCAGACAAACTAGACATACCCAGGAAGGCTACTGTGAAGGCACTAAGTTGTAAAGAAAAACCTGAAGCTAGTTTCTCCTTAAAAAACAAGGGGGCCTAAAAAGTCCCTGGAGCCTTTGCCAACCTCAAAATTCTCATGAGTGATTGAATGCCAACCCGTATCTCCCAGCTATCTTCTGAATTGGTATCCATGGAAGAGGCATATTCACAGTTATGAGACATTAAAAAAGAGCCCTCACTGAGACAGACGTGTGCTTACATACACAAATCTGCAAGTATTAACAGACCACTGAGTGAATTCAGTAGTAACAGTAAGTGATTTGACTCCAGGTGAGCTGAGATTATGGTGAAGAAAGATGGAAAGTACAGTTAATTCATTGTAGGGAGAGACTATTTCATTTGGCTGCCTTGTAGCTGGCCTGCCTGTCATTGCTATTCTACACTGTGATTCTGTTGAGTAGTTGGTAAACTATCCCCCAACCATACAACTCTGAGTGGACACTAGACCGAGACCAGCTGATAACAGAGTCCTTTCTGTGTTTTTTGTTTGTTTTTGAGATGACAGGACACCTTTTTCTGGGATTGTAGTTCTAAGAAATAAACTAGCACCTGCAAGTGACCATCTTTGCTTCTCAGAAATGAAGGAAACATTAAAAAATACATCCTAAGAAGGACAGAAAGGAGGTATGGGTGGCATTGCTTTGTCTTCTGAATTCCAGGCACACTAGAAGCAAAGTTCTCTCCTTGGGAGTTGCTGGATCTGCATTAAGACCAATCAGTAATTTTGCGTGTTTAAGTGCAACAGTTTGTTTGCTTTTCTGCCACTAACAACCAAAATAGTTTCCAGAAATTGTTAGTGGTCAGGAAAGCAGAAGAACAGCAGGCATGCTATCTAATCATAGCAATAGTG